CCTGGGGGGATTTGATGGGGGGGACAGTGTAGAGGGAGTTTTACCCTGTATGTAACCCCATGCTGCCCCTGTCCTGGGGGGGTTTGATGGGGGACAGTGTAGAGGGAGCTTTACCCTGTATGTAACCCCGTGCTGCCCCTGTCCTGGGAGTGTTTGATGGGGGGTGGAGCAGTGTAGAGGGAGCTTTACCCTGTATGTAACCCCGTGCTGCCCCTGTCCTGGGACAGTGTGCTCTCTGTGGTTGAGTGGGTGAGCTAACAGAGATGTCTGTTAACTGCAGTGCATCCCGAGCTCTGGAGGTGACTGTAAGTCTCGGATCCATTTTGTGGTGGATGGCCCATCGCTCTCAGTAATTGAAGAGAAATTTCCGGAACTTCTGCCAAAGGTAGGTCGGGCGAACACTCAAAGCAGAGTGGAACGGTCTGGCCTGGTGCCTATTCACTGATACTTACCGGGTCCGTTCTCACTACAACCCCCAGCGTTCACATCTTGCAAAGACTATCAAACCCAAATGATCAGAAGGGGAAGCAGAGAAGTTGCATCTTGTCAATGCCGAGGCCTTTAATTTTTCACAAATTCCAGTGAGTTAATGCTCAGAGATTTGGCCTGATCCCCTCATCGGGCCTGGTCTCTGTGAGCTAAGGGACCCCCCACCTCACACTACTGGGGACAGGACTGTGCTTCCTCCAGTGGTCGAATATCCCAATGTGCAGCAGGTTGCTAGGGTGAGCCCCCGGAGGTTTGCGGGGGAGGTGAGGGTGGGAGTGGGGGCAGGAGCTCAGGTGAGCATTTCTAACGGGCTCTTTACCCACAGCTAACAGGTTCCCCCACAAACAAGACCCATGGCAGCAGGAAGGCACATCCCCTTGTCTCATACACTCACACACACACACACACTCACTCACACACACTCACACTCACTCTCACTCACACACACACACACTCACTCACATTCACACACACACACACTCACTCACACACACACACATCACTCACACACACACTCACTCACACACACACACACATTCACACACACACACACACTCACTCACACACACACACATTCACTCACACACACACACACTCTCACACACACACTCACATTCACTCT